ATTTGACAAACTTTTTCGCAATAAAGAGCAAAAAGGTTTTGAAATGAAAGATAAGGTTTTTAATTCAAGTAATTTAAAAGAGAGAGAGAGAGAGAGAGAGCGAGAGAGAGAGCCTAAAAATTAAAAAAACGCACATTATTAAGGAATGTAAATATTAGCGGAAGTTATTAAAGCCATACTTCGATAAACAAGCAAAGTTATTTAGGGAAAACATGGCCGTTCTGGCACGGTTCCTTTAATTTAAGAGGACTTTAAAAACTGGAAGAAATTTCCGTAGAGGAATCAATATATCTTCAGAAACTTTTACGACGCTTTAAAATATTGAATTTTCCATATTTGGCGAGACTTTGAATGAACAAACACTATTTTTGACTTCGCAAAAACCAATCTTTTCTTAATATATCGAACTAACTTAATTTATCGAAAATATTCTACAAGTGAATTTGAAAAATTCTATTTGAAAGATAATGTAAACAAATAAGAAAGTTATACTCGGCGACAGACGAATCTCGCATACCCACCACTATGCTTTTCCCATTCTCCCCGCCATGTTCTTCTGTTTGATATCCATATCGCTGGTATTATTAAGAAAACATAAATCGAGGACTCTATCACATCCATTTTAAAATTAGATCATTTTTAGGCAGATAATATGTCTTCATTTGAGGAGTGCGCAAAATAGTTTCCAACATTCCGTCTTGTTTGCTTTATAATAAGCGTAAGCGTAAAACATCAAAAAAGTGAAAAAGATAAACTTTAGTCACTTGTGACATTGTGTGGGCGTGGCGGATGTTATCCATTTGTCCATGTAAGGAGTAGAGGGCTTCGTAAAATAGTGCTTTAATAATATCCGAGTAGCGAGCAAAAAACCGCAAATTTTTGCTAAGAAAAATGGAGTTATGTTCAGTTTACGCTGCAATGCGCGTTTCGGCTCCGACCAACTTGACCTATGTTCAATACCAACCTACGTGAAGAAACTTCCAATGTTTCTACCAAATTTGAATTCGATATCTTCATTTTTGCGACCAGGAGAGTCGCGACAGACAGCGGCACAGACGGACAGACATGGGTAAATCAACGCCAAATTTCACGCTGATCATACTTTATAGGGTATCTGAAGGTTCGATTTAGGTGTTGGGACAAAATCCGTGCACCCCCATCCTACAATGGTGGGTATAAGAATCCGAATGAAAAGAATGAAGATTTATGTCTGGTGCTGCTTGCCGTTTAAAGACAAACGCGTCTAAAAGTTTAAAGTGTTGTTGTTATAATAATAATAATAATACACTTTTTTATGCATTTTTCTAGTTAATCTGCACAATGCTAGAGCCATAGAAATTCCCTGCTACTTTCAAGTGTTCGCAGACAAGTGTACACACATCAAACATGGCTGCCATGTGCAGTATATTTCTTTAAAATGCAACATGACATAGTCAAGGAACTTTCGTTCAAAAGTAATCCAGAGACACCGGCCTGGCAAGATGAGGATCAATATAATTGCATTTAAATTTAACATTCTTTCAAAGATAAAAAAAAAATGTCGATTTTGAGGATAGATTTTTAATTAAATGATAGCGTAAAAGAGAAACGCCGCAATTGCCGCAATCGCCGAACAAAGACAAAGCGTCAATTAGTTTGGCAAAAGTTTAAAATTGTAGGACTGTATCGAACGCTGATTTAATTGTTGCAATCAATGGGGCCTGCAATGCAGATGACAAAATTTTGAGTGAGTGAATTGTTTTCTTTATTGCCTTTGTGCAATCGCGGATATTTATTCAGTGAACGTACGAAATTAATTGCTTTCTCCACTTTCTCCAACCACTCGACAAAATCAATGTGTATCTACATAAGCAATGTAATGTGATATTTTATAACCTTGCGCCGCCCTCAAGTGCAAGTCGTTAGTTTACGATATTAACATTCGCAATGATAGAACCAAAAAAAAACAATTCTTTTTTACTTACATCAATTTTGGCTTACGATACCCTAAAGTAATTTCGTTTTCATTTTTTACCTTTTTTCTTAGTTGATCTTTATGAAGAGAGAGAAGTAACTTACATCAACAGGACCTATTGGGTTGTTTTCGTAATCAAAAAAAAAAAAAAAAACATCACCTATCAATTTACTGCAAATGCTGTCGTGTCTTGTGTCTTCGAATTGTTTCATCAATAGATGAAACAAATAATGTTTTGTTTATCAGTAATAAATAAATGTTGATAATGATTAGAATTAAACAAACCCAATTTACACCCACTCTATCCACTCCGGACACCTTGCAGACCAGGAAAGCTGTACCACCTAGCTGGACGGTCGTATTATGTGCCATCATCTGGAAAGAAATTTTAGCCAAAAGAAATACAAAAGCAACAAATTTTTTTTTTTTTTTTTTTTTTTGAAAGAAAAGTTTGGAAGCAATTTTAATAAGCAAAAAAAAAAAAAAACAAAGAATGGCTTCCAATATAGAAAGGTAAAATTGATTGACTTAATTAAGAGACAAAGGAAGTAAATGTTTTTCTCTTTTCAATGGCTACTGAAGCCATTCCCTAAAACGTATTGTTCATGTATTCGTCTGTAAATCCTAGTTAAGATCTAATAATAATTCGACAAACCCTCCCATGATGATATATGTGATATATGTGATATAAATATCCTTTAAAGTCTGCATTAAAGGATACCTGTGTTCAAGCAAGAGGGTAGCGGAAACGGAAATCGGCTTATGTCGGATCTTTTCAAACACAAATTTGTGATAATTGTGCCCAGCAAGACTAACACATCGAACACTTCTTAAGGTAGCACAAGATTTCGGGTTGAATATGTAAGTGATAATAAGTTAAAACTTTCAGTAAATGTTGAACCCATTCAACAAGTAAGGTTCGGCAATGCATGGTAGAAGAGCTAAAAAACAGTCGATGTCTTAAAAGAGATAAACATCTGATCTTTCTTATAAACAATACCTCAGAGTTGAAATGAAGCAAAAAAAAAAAAAAAAAAAAAAGGATAAGCTTGGCTGTTAGTATATAAAAAAATATTTTAAGCAATTATTACACTGAACATAATCAAAATGCAAATGTAAGAACCTATTGAGATTCAATCACCGTAAGTGGCTCCACTTCTATTACATAATATGTCAATGTTAGTTCCTTTAATTAGAACCACCGTTGCTTGAAGTTTACTTTTTGTCTTTGATTCAACTGCTCAATGAATTATATTTTTCTCCTTCTCCTTCTCCTTCTCTTTCCCTTTTTCTTTTGATTTTAGTGCAATTCTTTCCCATGCCATGAGTTTATATTTTAAAAAAGCAATAATTCTCCAGCAGTTTTCATGACCGCAGTTTGCATGATATATTGTCTGTGATAAAACCTTTAAGTTGCACTTTTAATAAATCAATGACACGCAAAACACAATAATGTGGGATGCGAGAGATTCCCGTAAATTATATCCTCAACGAAGGTCAGCTAATATGAAAAATGTAAGAATATCTGTAATAACATTAAGGAATGTTTGCGGGTTATGCAGTCAGCTTACATAACAAACTAACACCAGATTATTTAAATCAACCTGAATAGGGAGGGATAAGTGATATCGCTACCCAGCTATGGGGGAATTTCTGTTCAGTTTCTTATGTAATTAACACACAATTAGCTGCGAGTATCTGCAACTCAAACGAACATACACCCATGTTCTATGTTCTAACTATCAATCATTTTGTCAATTACAAAACCTTGCTATGCTTATCACTGTGAAATTTATATCGTAGGGATTATCTCTGTTACTACAAAAAAAAAAAAAAAAAAAAAAACCAAAAAAAAAGAAGAAATTTAAGATAACCAAAGGTAATTGAATATCAATGCTGTTGAAATGATTTATTTAAATAGAAGAATATTTTTCTCCCATTATTTATATTTCTGTATATAAAATACGTTCATGACCGATTTTGCAATCACCTGTCAGCTGCAAAATTCCAATTTAATTCTTTTCGTAATGAGAATAACTTAAACTGAATTGAATGCAAAGAAAAAAACTTAAGAGTGAGTGTTTTTTTTTCTTTTTACCAAGAAATTCACAATTTATGAAATTGTACGCACATACAGTGACTGACAAAAGAATAAGCACACAAGACGAGTATCATTCGTTACTACTTACTTCACTGTCCTCGAACATTGGATTGTCACTTGTATCGATGTTATTGTTATCCAATTTTGAGTCGGGATTTATACCGCTTCGCATCCATAGCTTCTTCCAATCGCTGTCGGTTAATATGGACTTTTGATCTGCAAAAAAATGTATGATTTTAATCACTGTATGTTCCCAACTTGTTTGTTTATAATATCGTATAGACAGGTGCTTCTCGTATAGTATGGCGGCGAGAATATATTTTTTACTTTTCGATTTCATCTTTTGATAAGGAGTTAAAGTAAACTTAGCTTCGACGATTACAAAGTTTTACATCTTCAGAAGTGCTTTCGATACACAACGCAGGATACAAATTTGGTTTATATTATAAATATATATCCAAGTCTAAATTATACTTTTCCATATTAAGTCTTAGTTTAAATAAGTGAATAGAAAAGTTTCATGCAACACGGTTTCGATACCGCGTAGTAAGCGTTAACCATGTTACACCAAAAATGTATGTATGTATGTATGCTGGAAGCAACACTCACTCATGAATTATTATGTTGCTTAATCAAAAGGTTTTCCCCATTCATGCATTCTTGTGCCTCCCATTTTACGCGCACTTTTGTTGGCGCTATGAGAGTCGCGCATCACGGCAATGCAAATATTTTTACTCATAACCAATTTACATAAACTAATGACAGATTATATTTGTGCACGTAGAACGTGAAGAAAACATGGAAAATATTGCTTCATTTACATTGGATTATCAACTGCATCGCATGGTTCCGAATCTTGCGGATAATCGCTATTAATGACAATTTTGATGCTAATGATTGCAATAATTATTATATAGCGAGTGCAAAAGGGGCTGAAAGGTGAGATTTCATGCTTTATAATATGGAGTGACAGATGCGGTTCTTTTTCAAGTTCAAAGTCAAGATTTTTGTCGCATAGGCGCGTGGGCAATGTAGGCGTGTCCTACGCAAAGTTTCACATTCTTTTGCAAATTTGTGGGCGATATCTTGACTTTTGCGAACGGGAGAATTTTTTTGCCACATATACTACATAATTGGGCGAACAGATAGGCGCACAGGCAGACATTCTCAGGTGCATTCCAAATTTGAAACTGTCCAAGAATGTACCTATTTCATGGGGCCTTTGAAGCTGGGCATTGGGTAAGGCCGACCATTACATATCCTACACCACATTGTCTAACATGATTCTTATTTTTATATGAGAGTATTATTGTGGGCCAATTTTCATCATCTTATATCTTTGGTTACCCGTTATATGTTAGCTTAGTACGACGTTTACTGGATTTTGGTTTGCGATGTCAATCCCTTTAAATATTTGCAGAAACAGTTTACACTTTTTGCTGTAAGAGATTTATTTAGGAATTCAGGTGTCCCATCGTATGGGAATAGGTTAGTACTAGGCGGAACCTTCATTGCGGATTTGGATAAATGATGTCGTTGACTCGCCTGTTTTATGAAGTGGATTTAATGTTAATGCTCCTATCCGCGCGACAAGGAATTTTCTTTTTACAAAACTAAGCCATGCAATGCATGTTCAATTATGCATCCGTTAACCCATTTATCGTCCTCTCTAAAAAACTAAATGGGGTTTATAGTATAACCTAATTTCATTCTGCACGGTTGAGTAGAGTTGCTTCCATTAAAACTGCCAACGTCATGCTTTAACTAAAATTTAAAATTTTATTATTGAGTTGCGCTCGATTTTAAGTAGTGTTCACGTGTTGCACTTCAAATTGACGTAATCGAGTTGTTGACTGTGTGGTTGAGCTAGACGAGCATATGATTTTTTTCTTACTTATGCTTAAGTGTCCAAAAAAAATTTTTTAGTTTAAAGATTTCTTTTGCTTCAGTTCTAACAAAGTTAAGGTTTTAAGCTTAACGAGCATTGTAGCACTCTGTATACATATAAATAAATAAACAGGTTAAGAATAAAAAGTTCTTTGACAAAGTAAGTCCAATATACTAAATTTATATCATTCTGGTCTTCCTTTTATGCACAACTTTTCAAAAAAATCATTCTTATATAATATCTAATCTGTATTAAAAATTGTAGCTTTCGTCTGTAGTAAGTCAATTAATTTCTATTTCGTTATTGTAAGCCTGTTGAAGTTACCTAATAGTAACAACAAGCACAAAATTTATGTTACGAATATATTTTTAATTTTTCTTCTTTTCTGTACCCGTCACCTAACGATGGGGGGTGTACTCGTTTTGTCCAAATGTTCGCAACGCTCAAAAGTAAACATCAGAGACTGCACAAAATATATATATTCTTGATCAGCATCAAATTCTAAATCGATTTAGAATCTGTCCGTCTGTCCGCTTGTCTGTCACATTCTCTTGGCCGCAAAAGTGAAGCTATCGACTTCAAACTTGACAAAAATATTGCAAGTTCTTGCATGGAGGATGATATTGAAAAGGGGCCAAATCGGTCGAAGGTCACGCGCACAGCTCCTTCTAAACTGAGAACACCTCTGTTTTTCATTGCTCCTAAACTAAAGCAGATAAATTTACAAACTTTCTATAGGCGATGCAATAGCACCTAAATAAAAAAATGGAAAAAATTAGCCACGCCTACCCAGTAATATCGTGTATCGAAATTTAATTTTTTTTTTTTTCATGACCTTTATATAAAGCACAAAAACAAGCTACATAAACCCTATGAAATCTGTAATTTCTTGAGCAGTTTGAAATTTGGAATGAACCTAAACATGTCCGTCTATTCGTCCGCGCAACTGTTTAATATTTGCGATGAACATTCCCACGTTAGCGAAAATGAAGGTTTCGTCTAGAAAATTATAAAAGAATTTGAAACTCCCTTAGACTATTCAAAGGATAAGCGTACAACCCCACACCCCACACCCCTGCAGGACAAAAACCTCTATTTTGAATGTAAAGAAAATCAGCCTCGCCCATTCCATATTATAGAGCATGAAAATTTAATTGTCTCATTTTTTTGGTCCTCTTCAGGATAACGGCGATGAGTCTAAAAGATTCGGTCAAAACCGAATGTAGTTGTCTTTCTATGTTCCAAGCCTCTGGCATAGTTGCATAGTTTTTGTTAACGTATTTAGGAAAAAACACGTCTCACTTTTTTCATTTTCACATATCAACAGACATCGTGAACTATTGCAAAACACATCATTAAACTTGTACTCACTTATTCTATATCATGTTTTTTAAATGCATATGAAAATTTTTGTGTTGAAAAAATTTTTTCAATATATCAAACAATTGATACTATAATGGTTATTGCAGCCAATTAAAAGCAATTGAGAAAACATTTTAACCTTTTTTTTTTTTTTGCTAAAGTCGCAATTAAAACTTTTTATTCTACTGTCTTTTGCTATTGTTCTTAGTTTTTATCATATGTTACCCTATTCAATATAGCGCATATGCATGATGTGTAAACAAACTTTAATTGAGGTTCATTAGATCGGTTGACTACATTGACAAGAAAAAGTAGCATCTGGTAAAAAAATGTACAAAACAACTGTAACGACTGCAAAGTGTAACAAACTTGTAGTTGAGCAATTGTGTTAGTTTGCGTACTAATTAAGGAAAACCGGAAAAAAACATTAAAAGAAAAAAAAAAAAATAGAAAAGTAAAACAAGGATAAAATATAAGGGAGTAGCCGAACCATATATGCTTAACTCAATCAAATGTATGCTGAGCTATGTATGCATGTACAACATTTTCATTAGAAATTTTCTCTCAATTTTCCCTGAGTCAATTTTATTACTTTTCCACGTAATCTTTGCCAATTTATAGGATTTAAGGGAAAACAAACTAATAGTTATCTTGCATCGTTAATAACACTCACCTTGCCAGGCTGAACCTCAGTTAAGGTATTAAACTATTCCCGTTCGGCATGAAACTTTCATATATTTAGAAAAGGTTGATAAAATTTTATTGATTCGATTTTAATAACCAAGCCTCTAAGCTCCGCATTTAAGAATGCTCGTTTCCTAAGACTTTGGTTTCGTTCTTAAGCATGTATATCATCAACACATCGCTTTAATTATTCCTAATGAAGACACATTTTCTAAGTAGAACTTCACTCAATAAGTCTCCGATCTGACAGCACTGTTTTTTTTTTCGTTAGGCGAGTAACGATTCATATGACAGTCAGAAGTATATGAGGAAAGGGAAGGATATAGGGAAAGAGATGGTCGCAGTCTTGTGGATGTGTGCCCATTGGTCAGTGTTATGCCTTTACCGACTGAGCATTCCATATAGTTATGACCAAAGTAAGGTCTGTTGAACTTCAGATTTAAAAACGCGTATAGTGACTTGACAGTCGCTATTCTTACATGCTAGACTACCCATGCTAGGATCTTGCTACACTGTTCATAGACCTAGGATAGCACCATACAATTTATGGAACAATGCTTTTCCAATTTTCGAAACAATGAAAAGCCCTGAATTTCGTTTGTTGATTAACCGTTAAGCTTTCTGGAAAGAAAGAACAATTACCATTCGTTTAAGAGATGTTACAGCTGTCGCAAAAATAAATTTGTCTGCAGTTTGCTTATTTTAAAAAAAGCCATATAGGTACCGATAAGGCTGAATGCTTTGGTCGACCGAATTAGGCAGTTGTTCCAAAGAACATCATAATAAGTTGTATGAGAAAGCTGGCTTGCTAAAGATATCAAAAAGTAGGCCACGCGTTAATTTGTATGAACATTTTTATCCATGAAAAATGTCTGTTCGCGTTTACTCTATTTTAACGAAAGCCACAACATGTTGTAGATTTTAAAGTGTGAGGAAAAAAGTGGAATAATCAGTACACTCCATAGTCAAATCGGCAACCAACCGAGCGGAGGGCAACCGACGTAATCGTTCTAACGTGACCAAAAAGGCAAAGTCGTCTGGAAAGGTTAAGCCGTTTGTATTTCGGCATGGGCGTGTTATAACATTCGCCGTCTATCTTAAAAAGGGATAAAGAGTCCATAACGACCAAGTATCGCAAGTTAAATCGGAGATTTATTGAGTGATGTATAATTTTTGAAGTAAATCTAAATAATTAAGCGCAAATTTCCTTTAACGGGAAAAATAATCAAAAAAAAAACATTCCAAAAAGTGTTCGGGGGAAGGACGTATTTAAACATTGCCT